AGAAGCAGGTCTGGAGTGATGTCAACGGAGGGCGACTCCAGCACCGTACGCAAAGCCGAATACAGTCGAACGCGGTGCGAAACGGACCTTCAAGGACGTAGCGGAGTCGTACCTTGCGGCACTACTTTGGTGCAACCAAACAAAGTCGTCATTTCTCTTCTTTGGCTTTTGACTCGGCGTGACTCAGACTTCATTTTTAGTTGGGACTCTTTTTGTGCTTTCGACCGTCAACTGCTAGTCGTTGATAGCTTTTGCGTTGATTGTTGTAAACGTGATCTTTGCTCCGTGTACGGCACTTGGTCGACGGCGCTGCTCATTGGCCAAACGGCGGCCTTTGCCAATTGGGAGTGTGGGCCGAAGCTCGGTCCGGGAGACTCCCTTTCCAATTGCAACCTCCCGCGAGATTCGCTTCCGTTGTGTCCTCTTCCGCCCCTGCGACAAGGGCTTCCTTTTGGCCAGCACGTCAGCGGAGCTCGTTATATAAATGGACACGCCGTCGCAGTCCTCGAGCGGCGGTCTAAAGGTCGGGTCTCGTTCGCCGGAGCCAAGCCGAGCCGAGCGAGCGGCCGACTTTGCCAGCTCCGATTACCGCTCGTCCGTCGCCGCGTTTCCGTCCCGGCTTGCAACGGGGCCGCAGGATGAAGACGGCGCAGTCGAGCGTGTAAAGTGGAGCGGAATTGCTTGCGAGGTCAGCTTAGACTGTCATGGACTGCGACGACGGCGAAGCGCAACACAAAAGCGCGTGAATAACCGCCCGCACGGCAAACACTTGAAAGAACAAAATGAAACAAATTAAGAACAGGTTCTTAATTTGTTTCATTGGTTCTTTGCCAATTGGGAGCCTGGGCCGAAGCTCGGTCCGGGAGACTCCCTTTCCAATTGCAACCTCCCGCGAGATTCGCTTCTGTTGTTTTTCAGAGCATGCGCGCCGCCGCGCCTCCGAAAGCGGGGCCGCACGCTCTCGGCCACTTTTCCCAGCAGCTGCGCTCCAAGCAAAGTCTTTGTGAGCGATGACGCCACCGCAAGCAGGCACTGGAATGAGGAAAGCCCCCCCGACGCCACCCTTCTCCCAAGGCGGGCCTCCGCAGTTAACCATTAAACGGGCCTGCCGGCCCTAATTCACTAGCTGGAGATGTCTTCCCCCCGTGCGTTTCACGTGACAACGGAACCGAGGAAGGGAGGAGGGGGGGGGGGGGGCAACTCGTGCTCCGCGTGCGTCCTCGCTAACATCCACGCTCACGCAGCTCGCGGGCAGACCGGAGGCGCTCCCGACGAACCCCTTTCACGCCGTCGATCGGAAGGGCTCGGATCAATGAGCTTCGGGGCCGCTGGTTTGACAGCGTTGGAACTTACGAGACGACATCTGCACCGAAACCTCCCGAAAGAAAGGGCGGACAACCAAAAGCACGCGTTTCGGACCAAAAAGCGGAGCTTCACCGGCTTCGTGTGAAAAGTAGCACGTCCAGCGGAACGGCGAATTTGTTTGAGCTCAAAATAGGAAACGTCAAGACTGAGAAAGGGGCACGAAAGAATACTTTGACTGAGAAACAACATCGGCGACCCGCGTACGTCATCTTTTCTCAAGACGCACTTTCTACTCCCGACACGTACGCTGTCAGGCCCATCCGTCAACGTCCTGTGAAGTCGCCGATGGCGCAGCGCACACCCCGTATTGCGTGTTACAGCGCTAGCAGTCATCGTACCGCCCGCCCCCTTTCATAGCGCCTGTAAAAAGCGGAGCGCTGTCTTTTTAAATGTTGAGAGGAGTGTTGCGTTGCTAGCAACACAACCACATCCTTTGGGGAGCTGGTGCTCAGAAGGGCACAAACTCGCTCCCGCCGCTGCCTCCGGCAGGACTCGGCTCCGTCGGCAAAAAGCGGACGGCAAAGCCTAGCGACGTCCGCTTTTGAGGAATGCGAGCCACGAGAGCGACGCGGGAGTCGCCGCCGCTTCCGTCCTGGAGGGGCTCGGCCGCACCATGTTTCATTTGTTCGCCAGCAGGGTGTAAGTGTGCCTTTGTGTCGGGTGCGGGACTCGACCGGGAAACGTCCGCGGAAGGCTTTGCATCGCTGACGTTTGTTTATTTGTTTGTCTTTATAACGGCGTTTCGTGCGAACGTGTGGAAGACGACCGCGGAAAAGGGCGAACGGGGGCCGCACGGCACAGAGGGGGAAAAAAAACAAGAGCATGTGCGGGCATGACGGCAGAAAATATTCAACGCTGCAGGCAATGCAGAAGAAGAGAGCCGCTCGCTTCCCGAATCGCGCCTTGACGAGTCGAATCCTTGTCCCGAATCCGGAAGACCTCTGGCCGTTAGCGCGCTCGGGTGATTTGACTCGCGTGGAAACACAGCGGCGGACTGGAGTAGCGGAATCACAATTTAACAGTGCAGACTAACGTGCTTTCACGCACATCGATTGACTGGCGAGGAAACGGCAGCGGACTCAAACCGCTGACCAGAGTCACGCGTTCAACCTGAAGACTGACGGGGTGTGGCCTCGGCGGCGACGCAGCGGCGGACTCAAACCGTTGGGGTCACTGATTCGAGTCGGCGGGATCACTTGCGAACAGGAAGACTCCCGCGATCTGACTCGCATGGACACACAACAGAGGATTCGGTTCACTGACTCGAGCGAGCGGAATCACGTTGACGCTCAATCTCGGAACCGTATTCGGCCCGGAATTGCCGCAGACGGGGAGAGGCCAGAAAATACTTTGGGGGAAATGTGCACCTTTTCCCCCAATTCCCGATGCCCGCCCAGCTCCCGTTAGCGCCGCAGACAACACGGTCGGACTCGCTTGGAAACGCTTCGCCGACTCGAGTTACTCGCGCGATTCGACTTGCACGGAGACAGCAAGGGACTCAGCGGACGCGGTTGACTGACTTGAGGCGCGCTCAAAATCAGGCGCTAACGGTGCAGACTCAGCGACTCGGATGATTCGAATCAGGTGAAAACAGAGCGGCGGATTCAAACGACTCGGTTCACTGATTTCCGTTAGCCGAATCGCGTGCTAACACCGCGGGCTAAAAACGGTGAGACTCGCTCGGACACCGCGGCGGACCCCGCCGATTCGGTTCACTGACTCGAGTCAGCGGAATCTCACGGTCCCACCGCAGACGCGGCGGATTTGACTCCCAACGATTCAAGTCGCGTGAAAGCGAGGCAGCGGACCCAAACGATTCGTTTCACCGCCCGACCGGAGTTGTCAGAATGGCACGGGAACGCGACCGACTCGGATGACTCGGATGACTCGACTCGCGCTGAAACGCGGCGGAGGATTCGGATGATTTGTTTCACGGTCGCAGTTCGAAGACTCGAATGGGGGAGCCGCACGTCGGCGTCCGTGTGCGCACGATATGCGCCCAAACACAACATCCTGTTCGTTGAGGCGGGCCAAATCAAAAGGATCAGCAGATAGTCCAGCGCGTGGCTGTCCGCGACTCCCACGGCAGACGGCAGAACGGCGAATGCGGCGGGAGTGCAAAGGTCGCACGATTGACTGCCGCCTCGAGCGGTGAGCCGCGGTCGGGGCCAAAGGTGGCGTTAACGACGGGCGTACCGCCGCTGAGCGCGGCCAATGAACAGAACACGCGCGAGATTGGCACCCTCCTGAAATTGCTTCAGGAGGAAAAAACAAACACAAAAAAAAAAAAAAAACGCAGAATAACTCTTCCAAAATTGCAACTTGAAAAATTCCTTGACATTTTGAGAAAAGCCCGCGCCCATTTTCAAATGAAAAATCGGATGACGGACGGGGACCGAATCGCTGGAACAACTGGAACAAAAATGGACGGCAAATTACTACTTTCCTATTCAACAGACAAACGGCCGATCCATCGACTTTTGATTGAATATTTATTGTCCCCCAACCGGACTTTGTTTCTGTTTTATCGTTCCTCTCGTTGGACTCGGAGAGAAGTGAATTTCCTCTTCAGAGACGGATGATTGAAAGGACGCTCGTCATTCATCCAAATCCCGTCTGGGATTTGGAGCTCAGGCCGCTCCCGTTCTCAAGCGGTCCATAATTTTGCATTTGGCCGCCAGGACGAGCGACAAGACATAATTGGCCTGTTTTTGTGGCCCCGGCAACTCGTCGGTAGCAGAAAGCGCTTGCGGAACGGCGCCATTAGCGCTTGAAGCCTTTGGAAAGAGGAGCGGAAACGCCGCGTCTCACTTCTTGCCCTGAATATTCAATCGGCCCCTTGGCAGCGGACAAAGACGGAGGAAAACACGAGGGGGTGGTGGTGGTGGGGGAGGCGAGGGCGCACCAAATTCCTTCCCACGGATCGCTCAAGGCGCAAGACGGTGGCCCATTTCGGACTTTGTTGTCCCCTTGACTTGGACACGTGAAGAACTCAACTGAGTGCACAGGAGGGATTTGTGGCTCAATGGATTTCGTTCACTTGTAAATTGGCCGCATCAAATCTTGGGAAGATTTCAAATCCCGTGAATCGGGGGCGTGTCTGTCCCCCGAGGCCAAAAAAAAATCGCAGAGTTGAGCGACGCGAGTTAGCCCGCTCGCGGGGAAACGCCGCCCACCCCGCCGATTCCGGGGACCGGCGAGAAAGCGCCTGTTGACAAGATGATTCTGTTCGTATTCAAGGTTTTGGGTTTTTTTTTTTCTCTGCTCGCGAATTTGGCCTCTGAAATCTGGGACGGCGCATGATGTTGGGGCGGCGTGTTTATGTGCAAGGATTGCCAAGCGATCCACCGTCCGCTCGGTTTTGTTGATGGGGTTTCCATTTGTCCGGCGTTGAGGCCAATCGACGCGGCTTCTCAGTCTTACTCGCGGAACGGCCGCGAGACGGCCGGCATCCATTTAGCGGATGCTGACGACGGGAGAAGATGACGGCGCGGAAGGACTTGCTCCAGGCGTCCTCACACTTTCCTCCCACGCGCCGGCTAACTAGCGGGCGCGGCGCATATGCTCGCCCTCCCCGTGGACTCCGCTGCAATCTTCCTCTGACTCGGTCCTTTTGCTCTGGTGCTTCTCCTTAGATCTCATCTGATGCCCAGGCTGAAGGAGTCTCGCTCCCATGAGTCACTGCTCAGTCCCAGCAGCGCTGTGGAAGCCCTGGACTTAAGCATGGAGGACGAGGTCATCATCAAGCCCGTGCACAGCAGCATCCTCGGCCAGGACTACTGCTTCGAGGTGAGGGGCCTTTAAGGATCTTGGATATCGCGACAACAATCTGCACCGTCGCTCGCTCGCTCGCTTATGTCGTCAGCTATCGTTACCGTCGTTCGCGCAATCGCACCTGCCGAGAGATTGTCCTTTGAGTCACTGTTAGTTAGCTCGACGGGCATCCCGTCGACATTGATGTCACCTTGACTGTTAGTTGGTTACTTCGTCACCTTGTGAGCGTGCGTTCCCCAAAATGAAAGACGCAAGGATGGTTTGAGATCATTTCGTCTGTCCTGGCACGACATCGCCATTCCTTCATTGTCAGCTCACAGGGCGATGTTTGGTCAAACCATGACGATTATATATGTTGCGATGGCCGCAAGTTAGCTCCGGCGTGTTTTTCTATTTAGCTAAAAGTTGCTGACGGTGGCCTCATAGCCGCTAACGCTAAATTCGCCGGAGGCGGAATGCCCCCCCGCCCTTTTAAGCCAGAGTGAGCATATTGCAACCGGTTGAGGCTTTCTCAAGATTACAGAAAGATTATAACGCTGAGAACACATTAAGCACCTTAAATCGCTTTTGATTTGGATTTCGGATTAAAGAGACAGTGATGTAACGAGCTCTCGGGGCAAACGCAATCGCAAATGATTTTATGGCTGGCTGAAAATAAACGCAAGTGTGGCCCTTCATCTGTTGCGTCGCCGGCGGTGGGATTTCACCCCACGGTAATTTGCAACGTGCTGCTTAAAGCGTTACCTCTTCCAAGGCAAATGCGCATCAGGCAAGACCAAGCAGGAGTTTTGCGAGTGGATACAGCGAATGGGTGTGCAAAGACCCAAGTTTGGCATAAACAAATGCACTAAGGTGGTGCGTAAACCAACAACAACATTTGAAAGAACCGCAGTCCATTGGCTCGTTAGCCCACTGGCGCAAGTTTATTTATGATGTTGCTAGTTAGCAAGCCCATTAATGCAAGGTAGGACATTACGTTGCAATTGACATGAGTCGGTCAGTACGCTGGTTCGCTATTTAGCTGGGTAGTTAGTGAATTAGCTCAATGGTTATTGATATTGCTAGCTTTAGATGATCTGTGGTGTCTCTGGCTAGCTCAAGAGTTGAAATAGGCTTTCTTGTAGATCGTTAGCTAACGAGTTAGCGTAATAGTTCAATTGCTGTTTTGTGCGATCAGTTAATTCGTTTTAGTGAGTAATTAGTTTCCCCCATAGTGCTAAGGTGGTTAGCTTGTTATCAACGTTATCGATGCAAATAATTAGCCGAAGGCCGCAAGAGGAGCAGTTAGCGAGTTAGCAAAAATAATAAGTCAACAACACAGGACAAGGCCTGACGCTGCCTTGCGAAACTCGATCAAGTCCCGTTTCGTTCTTTTCTGCTCATCTCGGTATTTTCCCCCCGCAGGTGACGACCTCCTCGGGGAGCAAGTGCTTCTCCTGCCGCTCGTCAGCCGAGAGAGACAAATGGATGGAGAACCTGAGGAGAGCCGTGCAGCCGAACAAGGTGAGGAGGACGCACGCTTTTCATCGACCTGCGACGCGACCGCTCGGCGGCGGCGTCGGGGAAACTTCGGACGAGGGCATCACGAGCGGCGTTGCGTTTCCAGATGTAAAAGCGTGCGAGGGGACAATCTGGCCTCTTTCCTGACGCCGCTTTTTCTGTCACCAGGACAACAGCCGGCGGGTGGAGAACATGCTGCGCCTTTGGCTCATCGAGGCCAAGGACCTCCCCGCCAAAAAGAAGTACTTTTGCGAGCTGTGCCTGGACGACGCGCTGTACGCCCGCACCACCTGCAAGCTCAAGACGGACAACGTCTTCTGGGGCGAGCACTTTGAGTTCAACAACCTGCCGGCCGTGCGCGGCATCGCGGCGCACCTCTACAAGGACACGGACAAGAAGAAAAAGAAGGACAAGAACAACTACGTGGGCTCGGTCAGCATCCCCGTGGCGGCGGTGACCGGGCGGCAGTTTGTGGAGAAGTGGTACCCGCTCGGCGCGCCCAACCCCGCCAAGGGCAAGGCGTCCGGACCCATGATCCGCATCAAGGCGCGCTACCAGAGCATGAGCATCCTCCCCATGGAACTGTACAAGGAGTTTGCCGAGTACACCACCAACAACTACATGCTCCTCTGCTCGGTGCTGGAGCCCGGCATCAGCGTCAAGAACAAGGAAGAGATGGCGTGCGCGCTGGTTCATATTCTGCAGAGCACCGGCAAAGCCAAAGTAAGTGGCGCCACGGAAAATGACCCGTACGATTTTTGTGCTGGGGAACGAAAAAAACACAACGCGGTGGTCCAAAAGTCTTACCGGAGAAGTCAAGCCCCGAACGAAGCACCGTGAAACTTGCGGCTGTCGCGGCCTCAAAGTCGCAGTCTGAAAATTGGCGCTGTCAAGTCCTTGCGAGTCCTGCCGGTCCTGAAGTCGCCAAGTCCCGAAAGTCATTGTACTGGAGACGCAGCCCTTAATTCATTCGGTACCGGCCAATTCTAGACCAAGTCTGAAAAGACGTTTAAAAACATCTTTGGGAGTGCACGAGTTCAAGTCCGAAGCCAAAGTTCAGTGCCCCGTGCCCCGTGGCCGTCGCCCGGGAGTCTGAAAGTCCACCCTTCAAAACGTCGCCCGTTGGTCAAACCCAGGAAGTTGCACCTTGAAAGTCGCAGCTCGGAAGAGCGCATCTCTTCGGTCGGACGAGCAAAGCGGTGGCCGAAAAGTCCCAGCTTGAAAGTCGCAATTGACAACTGAATTTGGATGTGATCTTTTGGAGAATGACCACACCGTGGTCCCTCCCGATCGCTTTCTGACTCTTCGACTTGTTGAGGGCAGGAAATGAAGCCGTTGCGCCGTTCTTGTGCTTTGAGAGCAAAATATCTTGTCTTGTCGGCTTTTAGTCAGCCGTCTCCGTTGTCTTCGCCTCATCGGGAACCGTCTCTTGATCGCGGGAGAGGAGCTCTTTGAAACTGGATCGCAGCTCGCCGGCGGGGTGAACCATTAGCGCTTAAGAAGCCGCATCTATCTTT